GTGAAGTATAAGATTCAAGATCGTCAGGAGTAGAGTGCTCGATACCGGAGTAGAGCTAAATACGAAACAAACGATGTCAGAACTTGATTACTTTGTATAGATGGTATATTGTTTATGTATGGATTAGTAATCATTGGTTTCTTAGCAGGAATTTCCTCCTGTGCCTACAAGTGGATATTAATTCATTTCTGCAGTTGAGAGAACTTAACTCAGGATGACAAGTTATTAGAAACTTTTCATGTAGCCATAGATTGCATCGTTTTATAGTATTTTTTATGGTCTACATTGTTTTATAATTTTCCATTTTATGGTATATTGCGTCTTAGTGTCTTTCAATGACCGAATGTATTTACTTAATTCAGTACTATTTCTGTATTTAGCATTACGGAATGAGTTAGTATGGTTTCTATATCTAGTTTTAAATGTATTTTCCGTAAGACCGATGTAAGTTTCTTCATTCTTGTTGTCGACTCTTGTTGACTGTAGCTTGATAAACAATCCCTTCGGTGAGGCATTTACCGGATAGTGGGCATTCGATCTTTTGGCGACAGTTACATGCAGGGTTATTCTTCTGAAGTTCCTTAGACAATATAGATTTGTTGTGTGAATTAATAACACTATTCATGTTCGGCATGCAGCTGTAGCTTAGATTCAATGTGTTCCTGTTAAATAGCTTTCTAAGCTCGTGTTCTTGCGGGAAGCATTCATCCACTAAAAGCGGCTACCACTACAAATTGAATTTTAAGCCTGTACCCACAAAGTCAAAACGATCGCGCAGCCGAAATGTCATAATGGTTTAACCCCCCGTACAGCGCCAACGTCGCTACCAATATAGGCCACAAGTTTCTACATATAGTGGATGAATGCTTCCCGCAAGAACACAAGCTTAGAAAGCTATTTAACAGGAATACATAGATATAGAAACCATACTAACTCATTCCGTAATGCTAAATACAGAAATATTACTGAACTAAATAAATACATTTGGTCATTGAAAGACACTAAGACGCAATATACCATAAAATGGAAAATTATAAAACAATGTAGACCGTATTCTAATACTATAAAACGATGCAATCTATATGCCTACATGAAAAGTTTCTAATTATTTGTCATCCTGAGTTAAGTTCTCTCAACTGCAGAAATGAATTAATATCCACTAGGCACAGGAGGAAATTCCTGCTAAGAAACCAATGATTACTAATCCATAGATAAACAATATACCATCTAGACAATAGACCCTTTAAGTGGCAAAACGGGGCGGGAGCCCTTCCCAGTGACGTCCCTCTCCCCTACTGGATCTTCCCCTGTTGCTTTAGGCTACCCTCTTGTAAGTGAAAGTACAGCAATATACAGTAGGCCTAGCCTAGTTGGGCAGAAGAGAAGTGTTTGTCTTCAATCAAGGTGGATGCATGTAAGGCTTATCCGAACTATACTGACATTCAAAAGAACCCGTAAATATTGTCCCGACGTGTTTACGTAAATTCAAAGTGGTGGAGCTGGCTTGACCCTACCTATCTTAATGCACTATCCAAATCGACCCGGATTCGAGAGATAGAGGATAGGCCCTAGGTATGCTAACTACACATGAGCTAGGCCCCTAGGTAGATCTAAGGCCTATCTCTGATCGACATCATAGGCTAGGCTAGGCCGCCCCTAGGCCAGAGCCTACAGGGGCTGTGCCTAGCTAGGCCTGTGCATAGGCCTGTTTAGGGCCGGTGGTTAGGCCGAGGTTACCATCATGACTTGTGCCCAGGTGTATCTTTATTTTTACCTGATCGACTTCTAAAACATGCCATTTATTGATGTTTTTTGTGCCATAAATCTACAATATATCCAGTATAATGCAATGGGTACTCCAAAGAGGTACGGGAATAGGCTTGTCACCCATTTTGTTAACGAAGAATTACTGGGCGGTGACGTAATGAAGCTGCGAAACATAGACTGGTTCTTCTACGGTCTGACTCGATAATTTTTAAACCTAAGCATTGCAGTAAATAATAATAATTGATTAGGAACTACACTTTTCAATCAGTGGCACACTTCTCAATAGAAGGTGCGTCCAAAACAATTACAGTACAGAATATCTGTGATTAATTGTATTTACGTGACTTTAGCAACTTGCGAAACATGGGGAAACAGGTAGGCCTACTGATTTTCGTTGGTTTTTGGCTGTTTTTTTTCCGTTGTTATGCAATATCCAGCCTTAAAAAGTAGCGGAATGTGGTCGTGACATATGGAAGCCCCGTATGAGATATGGGCACATTCCTGCCAGCGGTTTCAGAGGAGATAGGTGAAGTTACGCGGTGGCGCGATTAGCAGAATTAATGATATATAGATTTAAGGCTGTTAACGGCTACCTTGATTTATATTCATATGCAACTATTTGTTTCCAGCAGTGTTATTGTGTATTAG